AACCCTTTTTTTTAAAAATCTGGAAAATGTTAAAATATAAAAAAAAAAATTTTAAAAAAAATGTAAAAGAAAAATGTTTAATTTAATTTAACTTCAATTTCTTTTCTTAATATTTAAAAAAAAAAAAAAAACTTTTCTAACTTCTAATCAAACTAATTAATTTAACTTTGAACTTTTAGAATTTAATTAATCCTTTTGCTAGTTAATCCAATATTTTCTTAAAAATAAACAACTTTTTTTACTAACTCAAAATTAACCTTTTTTAATTTAGTTTCTAACATCCTTTTTAGATTTAATTTTAATTCCATAATATTCTCAAAAACAATTAAAAACAATCAACTTCTAATTTTCTCAATTAAATCACCATTCACGATTTTGCGTAATTTCACTCAATCAATTCCACAATTCACATCTAATTTTTTTTCTAATTTACCATTCAATCTTAACCTCTAATCAATTCATTATATCATTGTTATCATCCCTTATCATCTGCTTTAATTTATTCCTCCTCCGAAGGAAAGGTTTTCCTGTTTGACCGTCGTGTCAATGCCTTTACCCTCACCCCATCCTAGCCTTAGGATCCGAGTCGCCGTACTCGTGCTTAGACGTCCCGCCGTGGACATGCCTTTACCCTCACCTCATCCTAGCCTTAGGATCCGATTCGTTGTACTCGTGCTTAGGCATCCCACCGTGGACACACCTTCACCTTTTCCCAACCTTAAGATTTTAGTCGCCATACTCACTTCTAGGCGTCTCGTCGTGGACATCCACCCCTTTATCCTAGACTTAGGATCAGGAGTCGCCGCACTCCATATAATTTCCCGCCGTGGAATACTTACTTCACCCTTTTTAATTCAAATTTCAACGTAGAATCGGAGTCGCCGCACTCCACGTAAGCGCTTCCATATGAACGTTTACATCCCCCTGGAACCTTGACCACAGTCAAGGTGTTCCTCTTCCTCCCTCTGTGAGGGGAACTACGAATAATCTGATTCCATCCCCTACCCATGATACGTAGGCACAAGATGCGATTCTTGGCGAGTATACTTAGGACTAACCCCTTAGGTCCTTCTTCTTTACCCTTTAACCCTTAGCATTACCTTTAAGCAGATAACCATTAGCAATAGCACATTTTAAGCAAGAGGTTCATGTAGAGTACTACAGAAGTTTAGGATGCTAATACCTTCCCTAAGCTTAACCAACCCTCGAACCCTAGATCTCTCCCCAATTGTGTTTACGATGCAAAATAGGTTTTCCTTTCTTTAACCTTTCCTTCAGATAAATTAAAGACCGGTTATGAATCAAGATGTGGTTCAAATTAATCAATAATTTTATATCCTATTCTCACTGTAATAGAAAATGGCAACTTCACTGGAGAGGAGGTCATTTTTTTTAGGGTTATCCCTATCTTGTTTATTTATGTGCTTGCTATTTTCTATATTACTTGCTTGTATATATTTTTATTGTACCTTGCTTGGGGTATCATTGTTGTGAGATAAGTCCTACATCCGGACTTGAGCGCAATTTTTATAAGAAGGTGATATATTCGATAGGGAGTGAGTCCCGACCAAGCTGACTTGAGAATCATCGCTCAGTTGAGGCCTTCTCGAAAACTAGTATTGTCGAACGAGTAGTCGTGAAAACATTCACTATTTTCGACCTTGGAGCCTGCAGTGATACTGGGGACCGTAGTTACCTAAACACAACTTTGGCCTTATTAGGATGTAGTGCGATGACTATGAGGGAGTAGTACCAAAATGGTTTATACGTGATACTACACTCAAAAGAGGTTCTCTTGAGAATATTGTTAACCACCAAGTTAGTCGGGAAATTGATAATATCCGAAAGATGGACTGATGACTTTTGGCACCGCTTAGAACCCTTGTTCTGCAGGTACAATTAACCCTTAGTACATACCTTTCAGGATGGGTAGACCTTGGCTCCATGCTCACGACCCTCTAACCTAGGACTCTTGTTTGCTTTTGTGTGTTTATGCATTACATCGCAGCATCATGACATTCCTAGTCTCAAGGAATTCAACAGTCCTTTGCAAATTCAAAAATCTTATATTTCAAAATTCAAAAACTTTTCCAGCTCTCCTAGAAAATATTTTCAATTGACCGTTGAAATCCTTGAAACCACTGCATTGCATTTTACATTTTCATTTTCCTTCTAGTTTCTCATTCTCGATTCTCTCACCTTCTAGTTCTGTCACCCTGAGTCTTCTACATCAGTACAACACCAGAGCTCGAGCTCGGAAAAAGATGGCGGAACAAAATCAAGAGCTTGATTGTGTGAGCAACGAACTCGAAGACCTTCGGGGAAGTGTGGGGCAGATTATGGAGATGCTACATGTTATTAATGCGAGGATGGATACTTAGCCCACTGTTGTTTCTGAGATTACCAATGTTGTTGTGGATCCTCAACCATCTATTACTACTGCAAGTCTACCTCCTTTTGGTCTTCCACCTGGTTTTGTGCCTACTCCTGCTGCAGTTCCTATTGCTCAATCAGTTCAATTCCTTTGGTTTCTGAAACTTCGCAAGCGATTCCTACTTTTGCACCAGCTGCTGTTCACACTCGTGTGCAACCATACTTCAATGAACTGGTATATGATATCCCTGACATGAAAGAAGATGAAGATGAACATCATGAAAAACTCCACGAGAATGTGGAAATTATTGACAAAAGGCTAAGAATGATGGAAGGTGATCAAATCTTTGGTGCTGCTGCCAGAGAAGTTTGTCTTGTATCTGGGTTGGTTATTCCTCTGAAGTTCAAAACTCCCATCTTTGACCGTTATGAAGGTGCTACATGCCCGAAGAGTCATCTGATCATGTACTATCGTAAAATGGTTGCTCATGTTGAAAACGACAAGCTGATGATACATTGTTTCCGGGACAGTTTGAAAGGTGCTTCATCAAAGTGGTACTTAACTCTGGATCAGTCTCGTATCAAGAGTTTCCAAGATCTATCTGACGCTTTCATCAAACATTACAAATATAATATGGATCTGGCTTCTGATAGAAGACAAATGCTGAGTATGTCCCAAAAGAGTTCTGAATCATTCAAAGAGTATGCTCAGAGGTGGAGAGAGATTGCTTCGTAAGTAGAACCTCCTTTGATTGAGAAAGAGCTAGCCGATTGGTTTGTTGACACTGTTCGTCCTGAATTCTATGAAAGAATGGTTGGTAGTGTGACTACAAACTTCTCTGATATTGTTGTTGTTGGTGTGAAAGTTGAATTGGGTCTGAAAAGTGGGAAAATGTCAAGTACTGCTGGTAGTTCAAGCTCTAATAAAGATCATGCCAAGAAGCCTTCATTCAGTTCTTAGAAGCAGAAAGAGGGTGAAACTAATGTTGTATCTGCAAGCCAACAAAGAAATCAACCTTGGCAACATCAGCAGAATTTTGTTCAACAACAAGGTTATCCTGTACAGTTTGCTCAACAACCGTATGTAGTTGTTGTTACACCTGCTTTCAATCAACAAGTTCCTACATATCAGCCTATGCAACCGGCTCCTGTTTATCAACATCCGGTCTAGCAACAACCTCCTGGTTATCAGCCTGCACAAGCTCCAGCCAATTATCAACAAGCGCCCAACGCTCCTGCCTATCAACAATTGAAGAATCAGGCACCTTGCCAGAATGTTCCTAATAGGAGATAGTACAAGCCAATGCCTCCTATTCTGATGACTTATACCGAGTTGTACCCTTCATTAGTACAACAAGGTATGATTACTACCAGAGAGCTTTGGGGCCGCCTCCAAATCTGCTGCCAGCCAATTACAATGCTGCTGCTCATTGTTTATTTCATGAGGGCGCGCCTGGCCATGATCTAGAAAGCTGCTATGCTCTCAAACATCTTGTCGGGGAGTGTCATACCCCAAATTTGTCCTACCTTTTTTTAAAATTTTTTATTTGCCCGATTTTGTTTTTAATTTACCTCGCTTATACAGCGTAGCGTAATTTTCAGCAAAAACGAGCATTTTCACTTTTTAGCCCAATAAGAGCATGACACGTGGCATTTGTTTTTGTATATATTTATCATTATTTTTTATTTAATGATTTATTTTAATAATATGTAAATATAATATAATTTTGACATTAGGTAATTAATTAACTTAAATTTAGAATTAAATTAGAATTTTAAATAGTTTTTTTTATTAATAGATTTAGAATTATTTTAATTAAAATAGAATTAGTTTAGAGTTAAATTAGGAATTGATTAAGTTTAAGTTAGAATTATTAAGATAGAAAATAGAATTATTAAATTAAAAAAAAAAGGAAATTTTGATTTTGAAAAAGTACACGGTGGCAATCGAAATTAGGGATTTAAGGACTTGGGATTATATAAGGTCAGCCACTGTTCACCATACCCTAAGAGTGAAGGGCATTACTGTTCACCCAGACCCAAAAAAAACCTAGCCGCCCCAATCTCCAAACCCTATTTTTTTCCTCTTCCAAATATCAGAAATCCGTCGCCGGAAAATCCCAAAACCAGTCGCCGCCGAGAAAACCCTAGACCTGGTTTCTCCCTCCGTCTTCTTCTACTCGCCACCACCGATATCCATCTTTTTCTCCTCTCACCGTTCCATCATCTCCTTCTCCTTCTTCAAAAATCTCTCCGCACTCAACCCTATTCCTCTCACCATCCGAAACGAACCCCTTCTTCTTCCCTTTCCGGCGCGAGCCCTCCCCTTCATTTTTTCCTTCTTGCTGAAACCGCCACGCTTCCACCTTTTTCTCCCTCGAAACACCATCCACTTTCTTCTTTCCACTCCCGATCTTTCTCCTCCTAAAGCCACTTCCGAAAGCGCCGGTGAATCTACTGACTCTAATTCTTTGCTCAAAACTCTTCAACTTGGATCCTTGTTCGGATTGTGGTACCTCTTCAACATCTACTTCAATATCTATAATAAACAGGTGTTGAAGGCATGTCATTTTCCTGTAACTGTTACTGTAGTTCAGTTTGCTGTTGGGACTGTTCTTGTATCAGTTATGTGGGCTCTTAATCTCTACAAGAGGCCTAAAATCAATGGCGCTATGCTTGCAGCTATATTTCCACTTGCTATTGTGCATACTTTGGGGAACCTTTTCACCAATATGAGTCTTGGAAAGGTGGCTGTGTCTTTTACTCACACTATTAAAGCTATGGAGCCTTTCTTTTCTGTTATCCTTTCTGCCATGTTTCTTGGAGAGAGGCCTACACCATGGGTGATTGGTTCCCTTGTGCCTATTGTTGGTGGAGTTGCTCTGGCTTCTGTTACTGAGGCCTCTTTCAATTGGGCTGGGTTTTGGAGTGCAATGGCTTCCAATGTGACAAACCAATCACGTAATGTTCTTAGCAAAAAGGTCATGGTTAAACAAGAGGAATCCTTAGACAACATAACTCTCTTCTCTATAATAACAATAATGTCCTTCTTCTTGTTAGCACCTGCAACTATCTTTATGGAGAGTGTCAAATTCACCCCTGCTTATCTACAATTTGCTGGATTAAATGTTAGACAAGTGTATACCAGATCTCTTCTTGCTGCACTCTGTTTCCATGCATATCAACAAGTTTCTTACATGATATTGCAGAGGGTATCACCTGTTACTCATTCCGTCGGCAATTGTGTGAAGCGTGTTGTGGTTATTGTGAGCTCTGTGATCATCTTCAAAACACCTGTCTCTCCTGTGAATGCTTTAGGTACTGCTGTTGGTCTTGCTGGTGTTTTCCTTTACTCAAGGGTGAAGCAAATTAAGTCAAAGCCAAAGGCAGTTTAACTTGTTCAATGGTACAACAGCAGTTCGCAACAATAACATGGCAGTTCACGCCGTTTTGAAATGGTAGCAGCGGATCCCTAGCTCGTTTGCGACGTTGATTCCGATGATGTCACATATCTGGACTAAATAACGTAGTAGAACTCGACGTCAGTCGCAGTATGTCACTAACAAGAACGCCATAGCAACCAGTTAACACCAAACAACGAGCGACAACTAGGAGACTCACGATTCACGCGGGGAATACGCATCTGAGCTAGCTTAAACCGGTGAAGGTACTCGATACGTCGATGCTGAAATGGTATTATTTCTTTCGTTTATTTGTTTCGATTTCCCGTGTTCATTCTTGTTTGCAATTGATGTAGTAATGATGGATAGTATTATGATGGCTTGAATGTTGTCTGGCTCATGTTATGTATGTTGTTCGAACCTCCCGTTGTATACATTGTTTACAATTTTTTTTGCTTCGGTTGGTGTTTTGGTATTTGGCATAAGTGATGAATTTCTGTAAATACTGTTGATATTCATATTAATTCTGAACTTAACGTTTAATATTAATTTGAATTTCATTCCAAATATCATTGTAGTATGTGTGGTTTCATGACTGGATTCCTGGTGAAACTTTAGTATTGTGTGATGACATTTACTTTAATGTTGTAATGTTGTTTTTGTTCTGTTAAATGTTTATGTATCAATGGCGGTAGCAGAACAACAATATTAACAACAATGGTATTTCGGTTGGGTTTTCACAGTAACATCGAGTAGTCAGGCTCATGTCATCATCCTGAATCAGTGTGTCCATGGATCCAGTTTCTTTTCTGTTTTTTCTTTGGTGGATGCAGGTTATAAGTTTGAGATTCAGAAGCTTGAATCCAACTTGGTTCACATCAACAACAATAACTCAGCGATAACTGCGGCGAACGAGTGACATCAGTGACGATAACAAAGCTCGGATCATCCATGACGTTGCTTTGAATATTTGTTTATGTTGTTGGGTATCGGTGTGAAATCACCGCCAGGTTTTGTTCATTGTTTTTCAGGTGATGCAGATTGATTCTCGGCGTACTGTTGCGCTCAGAGCTGAAACAACATGACGCCATAGAGAATATAAGGCCTCGAGTCGTGTCGGAAATCCAGAAGTGGAAGCATTCCTCGCGACTATCCCAACACCATACAACTGGAAAAGTCCTGACAAGCTTGATAGTAGTTGAAGAAGAATGTCCCCTTGCTGCTACAACTCGGTTGAAATCAGGCTGGACGCCGAAGTCGTTTCGGAATAATTTGAAGCTAGAGATTTCTTTCCATTGTGGTTGTTCAATCACCGGCTGCGTTGCTGCTGTTTTGATGCTCGTGCTGCTGTCGTGATTGCATACTCGACGGAGCTACTTTTCTTTCAACAGAAAAATTCCAAATCATCCAGCAGCAACTACTGTCACTTGTGGCGATGCATCGCGGTTGTCTTCCAACTTTGAATGATTACATCTTTGAATTTTAATTCTGGTATGTCGGTTTTCATTGTTTTTAAGGTACTGGATGTTTCGTTTTTACTTCAATTTTATGCCCTATTAGGACTGCCTTATATGAAGCCATTATAATTGTTGGCTGTCAATCCATGTTATTAGTACTGCTTATGTTTCTGGTATCGAAACCGAAATTTCGTGATATATACAGGTGATACCCATCTAATTGATACTCGTTGTGCCAGAATTATATATGTTGTTTTAATTTCAGATTCAAATTTAGTGTAGCCCATATATGTTAAAGCTTGGTTTCATTTGTGTTTGCATCGTTATTAAGATTTGCGGAATGGTCATGTGAATACGGTATTGATCTTGTTTCCGTTGTTTATCGCTTCGTATTGTTACTGTAATTTCCCTCCTTTGAATTTGTCCCAGTTTGTTCTTTCAAACTATTGGCTTTGTTAGCGGGTGTTGTGTTCTTCTCTTAAAATGCAGTTTGCTTTAGACATGAATACATTGTTAAAATTGCTGGTTATTGTTAACTGCTAGATTTTAAATTTCAATTTCAATTTGATTTCATTGACCTACTGATAATGGTGCATTTGTATTTTTTGCTCTGAAGTTGGTTTTCTTAATTCTGTTGTCATAATGAGAAAGTTGTTCTGGTGTTGTGAGTCGCGTCTCGTTAAAATGGGCTCCGTCTTGAAATTAACTTTAATAAAGATTGATTGATTAATTTGGATTCTTATTAATTAATTTTGTTAATTATTTTTAATTAACTTGATTATTCGGTTTAGTTGGATAATTTTGATAATTAATTTTAATTAACTTATTTAATAAATTAGTCAAACTTTAATCAATTATGTTGATGTATATTTCCAAATTACCTTCATAACCTAAGTGAAACCATTTTTCCGAAAACAAACTAAATCTTCGCCAATATCAAGTGACTAGTTTCTAACCTGTTTAATTTATTTTTAAATACAATCAATTGTTAAAACTTTTCTAATTAATAACGAAAGTAGTGAGTTTTTGGAGTCTAGCACTCCTTGGACTCTTGGACAATTGCTCTCGAGGCATACGCCTTGAGCTGTGGTTGTTCCGTCTTTTGGTTTCCAAATCATTTTTCTTCACTCAATTAAAACTTCTAAAAGATATTTTTTAAATATTTTTTTAGATATTTTTATAAGAAATTCTAATTATATTTCAAAATCATCACCAAATAATATTTTAAATATTAACACTTTTCAAAAAAATATACTTTATTAATTAAGTTAAGATATTAAACTTTTTCTTCAAAACAATTAGTTATGATTGATTTTTCTCAAAACTCTTTACAATTGATTAATTTATTTTATATGAAAATTAAAATTATTTTTCTTAATTAAATTAAACAATTTTCTCAAACAAATTTTAAAACAATTAAATTCTTGGATCTCGCCTTCCTTGAATTTTTTAAGCGACCGCTCTCGAGGTGCACACCTCGAGTTGTGACTCTTCCGATCTTATTTTCAAGAATACATAGCGCGCCTAGTCCGAGTACGCTAATATTTTCAACTTATTTTCATAATTAAATCACAAAATAATCGAGTTCTTGGAGTTGCGCATTCCTCGAATTCGAGAGGGACTACCATTGAGGCGTACGCCTTGAATGGCGTGTCGTTCAAACTTTCGTTTCTAAAATACCTCCTTTAATTATTTGGACAAGTATTCACTGTCCAACAAACACTATTTCATAATTAATGGGATGAAAAAGATTGTCGTTGGGATCTAGCATTCCAACGATATCCCGACTAATTGGTTACGAGGCCGACGTCTCGTTTATCGAATAGTCGTCATTCCTCCTAATTTCCAACTCGTCTAACCTCGTTTCTCACCCTCGCGTGATTGAATCAAAATCTCTTTCAATTCAAACTCTTTCGCGTCTAAACCATCCATCAAACATATTTCGAATGAAAAAGGTATCGTTGGGATCGAGCATTCCAATGGTGTCCCGATTGATTTGATTACGAGGCCGACGTCTCGTTTATCGAGTAGTCGTCATTCCTCCTAATTTTTCAAACCATCTAACCTCGTTCTTCACCGTTGTACGATCGAGTCTAAACCCTAGTACGATTCTAAACCGTACGTTAAATTCAAATTATTTTCTTAATTAAACTACGAAAGAACTGAGTTCTTGGAGTCTCACACTCCTTGAATTTTTGAGTAACTACTCTTGGGGCGTACGCTTTAGGTTGTGGTTCGCTCGACCTTTCGTTTATAAAACACGTGCCCTAACTATTTGGACAAATATCGTCATTGTCCATTCCAATACACTTTCATAATTATTTGAATGAAAAAGGTGTTATTGGGATTTAACATTCCAATAATATCCCGATTAATTGATTGCGAGGCTGATGTCTCGTTTATCGAGTAGTCGTCATTCTCCCTTAAAATATTCAATCCAACTCTTTTCTCTCGCCCCCGTGCGATTGAAACTTTCTCAAACATATTTCGTAATTATTCGAATGAAAAAAGGTGTCGTTGGGATATAGCATTCCAATGACGTCCCGATTGATTTGATTACGAGACTGACGTCTCGTTTATCGAATAGTCGTCATTCTCCATCAAAATAACTTAACCAAACTCCTCTTTCTCTCCCCCGCGCGATCGAAACCTTAAACCTATTCAAATATATCCTCTAACCAAAACATCCAATGCGATAAACCTAATCCCTCGCCCTTGCGCGATCCCTACAACTCAAACAATTCTTCTCAAAGAACATTGTTTAGTCCCTTCTTCCGCGCATAACAAACTCGAGCTTCAGCCTCCCCTAGTGAGCAGACAAGCCAACGTTTAGCAGTTAGAATGCGACTTAAACCCTCGTTCGTTTACCAACCCTTTACCGTAGTTAGCCGAACTACGGCTGCTCTGATTCTTCATTCTCTTCTAAATGTAAGATACGTAGGCATAAGATTGTGATGGTCTTAGCGAGCACAATCCCCCTTTTTTATCCGTAGTCCCACGAACTACGAATGCTCTGATTTTCCACTTCTTACAAGTGAAGATACGTAGGCACAAGGGCCCCAATCCTTGGCGAGCACCCTATCCTATAACCACCCATTCCCCCTATAGGAGAAACCTTAGAAGGAAACAAACAAGCGTAGTTAACTTTACTCTCGAATCGATCAAGAGGTTCCCGTTGAGTACAACGGACGTAGAGGGTGCTAATACCTTCTCTCTACGTAACCGACTCCCGAACCTAGAATATTGGTTGCGATGACCATGTTCTTATTCCCTTAAAGGTTTTATCGATATTTTCCTATTCCATCCTTGGAATGAATAAAGTTCGGTGGCGACTCTGTTTCGAACAGTATTTTCCGCGGCCATCGCGAGGATCGTATTTTTCGAGGTACGACAGGGAGTTAATGGAAAAGAAGATTCTGTCTTTTGATGATCCTCATCCGAATGTCAAGAGCAACCCTTTGTCAAACCATGGGGTTGTTAATGCTATTGATGATGTATCTGATGAAAGCTTTATTCTTAATATTGTTCAGATCGAGA